GGTGTAGTTACACATACACCGAAAAACATGTACACTAGCAGTACACTGTCGCATATACACCAAGTTTAAACAAGTACACCGATCATTATTTCCCTGTTTCAAGTTTAGTTACAAGTACACCGTTTCAATATTTTCGAGTTGTTGTTTTAAATTGAAGGAGGATTTTTTTTTTTAAAGTTATCGTGTGATGAGAAAGATTTTTTTTGAGGATACAAATGAAACTAACAACGCTTCCCGAAGTACTGAACTTCTACAGTTTGAAGAAGTACTTTTTCTGATGGTTTCTTTGATTCTGGTTCTTGTTGTTTATTCAGACAGTATGAGAATGTGTGTTTTGAAAATCCGTTCGGTACAGAAATAGGTAAAGGATGCTCACACTTTGTTCTTTCGCATTCTGCATTCAAGAAAGAATGCGATTTAACTGTTGATAGTTTCTCGCCATGGACTGGGAAAGGTAAGGTTTTTACTTTCTTGCTTTTTAGGTCATTCTCGAGTTACAGGGTATAATACAAAAAGAGTGACTACAAAATCCATTTTTGTTAACCTCAACTACGAAAACGGTGTTTACTCTAAAACTTCTCAGCAAACCAAGTATAAACTAAAAATTATAAAAAACAATCATGTGAGTTTAGAAGGTCTGAAACGTTCGGTGAGTAGTTATGAAAGAACAGACACATGATCGTATGAATTTTTCAGATTTACTGCTTCTATCGTGAAGATGTTATTGTTGAACCGATTTTGTACGTTTATGAATCACTGGTAAAATTTTAGTAGTGTGGATTCTTCACGACCTTGTTCAGGCTCTCCAATATTCTGATAGGACTATTGAAGAACTGCCCTCTGATCGTGTACTGTTCAAAAAAGCTCTTGAACATAGAACCACCACTGCGGCGAGAACTTATTTGAAGGAGCTTGGTTATAAAACTACTAATCGGCAGGTAAATTAACGTTAAATTACTTCTCTTCCATTTCTCGTAAGTTGACAAGTTTGAGCCGAAGTGTACCGACCCATATAAAAACAAAGAAGGGTTTCCAAACTCCTTTGGATATTCAAAAGATTCTTGATCGCTATGTTGCAAAAGCTGATTCGCAAGAGATTTTGGCTCGTCCTGTTATTGAGAGAGATGGTATGTTCAGAAAAAACTACGAACTCTATTTTTTGAAGGTGATTGTTTGAAAGTTAGAATCATGGTTTGTTATCCTATTGCAATTAAATGTTTCGGTGCTGGCCTTCCTATGAGGCTTGAATTACATGAACACGCTCAAGATCTCCGAAATGTTATGAAAGGATCTGACGCAGAGATAATGGATTTCTTCCGTAGAAACGTTAGTATTCGAAAACTCATAATTTTTGGCATTCCAGAGAAAATCCTTTCCACAACCACTCCAAGTGGTAACATACCATGTATCGGTAGTTCGATTATGGTTGATACAACCTTTTCATTGAGCAGTTCCGAATATGTTACTATCATGCTGGGGGTCAATGATATTTTTAGGTTGTTGTCATTGTCAGATAAACTAACACTTTTTAAGGTCTAAACTTAGCAAAAAGAATCAATCTGTTATTTTGGGGATCATGATTCATACACGAAAAGGGTATGAAGATCATGAAGATTTTGCAAACTTCATGAACAACAATTTAACGAAATTTGCTAGTACGAAATCAGTGGGGTTACTAATTCATGATGGGGAAATGAGCTTCAAGGCATATAATACGGTTTGAAAGATTAAAATTTTGAAAGTTAAAATTGATCTAGGGCACATTTTTAAAAGATGCTGTACTTTTGCGTTGTGACGCACATCGACTGGAAAACATAAGGGAAGCTTTGCGGAAAGATCCTCAGTTAGATTTTGAAGAGCTTAAGTACAAGTTGTACGGAAAAAAGCAGCAGGTATAAACAATGAACTCAGGATAGTTCATCTCTCAATCTCTGAAGTTTCAAGGGTTGAGTGTTTTGCGAAAAGGCATACTCCAAAATTTGAGAAAAGATGTTTTTGATACTGAGTTCGACGATTTGATGGACGATCTCGAAGATGGTTACTTCAAAAAATGGTCCTATTTCTAGCTTTCTTTCTCTTTTAGCCGCAGTCTCTTCATTTCAGGATGAAATCAAACAAAGAAAGCTTCTTTAGTCATAATTCCATGTACTTCAAACTGCTAGGTGGATGGCCGCAACAGTTTTTAACAACGAATATCATAGAGTCAAGGAATTGTTCGATTAAAGGCATTGTCTCACACAGAAAACCAGCGGAAAAACTTTTAGAAGATTTTTTGAACTTACACAAGGGTATAAGGTATTCTTCTTTTTCTCATATCAAACTTAAACAGATGAGATGAACGAAAGGCTGCTATGCGTTAGTGGCAAAATTTCCAAGTTAGAATCCGATGCATCATTCACATTTATGGAGTGGACAGGTTTAACAATAGCTCAGCGTCGAAACCTATTACACAGTTTTGGGTTGGATGACTTACTTCCTCCTAACATACTCGAAAACATTCCTTTGTTCCTTTTACCAAGTAAGCTGCTCTTACAAATGAGATCTATACAACATCGCATTATAGGCAAAAAAATTGATCAAGAACAGTATTGTAAAACTGGAGAGAAGCTCGCCGTGTTTAATTTAGACGAGAATTTTTTCGTTTTGAATGTCGAAGACAAATCTGAGTAAGGTATTTGTTCTACTTTAAAGCAAAGGTAAATTTTCTCGGTGCGTTAATGTTGTTCTTCTTGACACTCATAAGTTGATTTGCAACTCATCAAATTGTAAGCAGAAAAAAAATGCTTTAAAGTTGTGTATCCATAGGTGAGAGGAAAAAACTTTAGTTTTTCAACGAAAAGTTTCAGACTAGTGGTACTTAACGGATTACCCGATGAAGAAATGAGCTTAGTTCTTCTTGAACTTGAAAGATTGAAAAATAACTTGACCTCCTCCGAAATTTTGAGAGAACAAATGAGACCAGAAGATGGCACTAAATTCAAGAGACGAGGAAAGCAAATGAGCAAGAAGAATCATTCACGTGCATACGATACGATTGTGAAGTGAGAGTGTTTTCATGTTAGGTATAGAATTTATAATTTGTAGCTATTCGCTGGAACTTACTGATTCGTATAACGAATGCCCCGATGATATCATGGATTAAACTCTAAGCTGAAAAGTTTGAATAATGTTGAAAATAAAATGGGATATTTTAAAAAAGGTGTACTTGTAACTAAACTTAAAACAGGGAAATAATGATCGGTGTACTTGTTTAAACTTGGTGTATATGCGACAGTGTACTGCTAGTGTACATGTTTTAACGTGTACAGGTAACTAGGCC